TACTTTATAAGGGGATTTTGCAGAAAGTCTCTCTCATCGCCACGCTCAGGGCCCCTATCTCCTAGAATCCTGGATCCGCCCCTGGCAGGACGATAAAAGCTACCTAAGGTTTTTAAACCAGAATCTTATGGTTGACGCGCATTTTCCGGGATGAAAAAAACAGGATTGCCTTTTAGGTGAAACAAACACAGATGCATGCATCATTTCCTTTCTTATATAGAATTTGTACATATTGGCTTATAAAATATTATATATTTATTATTATATTAGGTATTGTTTAGTAATACAATTATTAAACAATAGTTCCTTGGATATTAAATTATATCAGTTTCAATAATTATTAATCTTTACCTTTGTCCTCTGGGATTCCCTTACTTGCCCTGCGCGAGACTTCCAGGTTTGATCTGCAGTTCTGTAGATCACCCACAGCTGCTTCATAAGCTTCTTTCGGGAAGCTAGTATGATCCATGAAAGGAGGCTGAGGTTCTTCTGCTTCTCCCTTCTTAAAGTCAGCGAACCACTTCTCTTCTCCATCCAGAGCGATCATGACCTCTCCATCAGAGTCTGAACAGCCTCTGATAGTGAGGTCCTCATGGAGAACTGAAAGAGAGAAGAACCACTGAGGTCCACTGGGTCACACTGAACCAGAACCAGAACCAGAACCAGAACCAGAACCAGAACCAGTAGAACTCACCATCAGCAGAGACCCAGAGGACGGAGCAGAGGAAGAGGAGCAGCTTCATCATCATCATCCTCTCTCTGTTAAACTCTGAGATCAACTGAGAGGAAAGTTCAGCTGCTGCTGGAAGCAGAAGCAGCCAGCAGCCAATCAGAGGCTGTGACGTCATTGGTATCCAGGCAGACAGAGGCTGAAGCTGGACTGAAGCTGGAGATCAGGAGATGATCAGGTTGAAGGTAGAATTAGAACCATTAGATCTGGAGATGATTGATTAGATCGATTCTATTAGCTGGACTGAATTATATGAAACAAGGTTAAAGTTTTATTTAATCTGCTGAACATTATTTCTGGTTATTTCTATCTGCTAGCAGCTGTTCTTCACAGCAGCTCCATAGACCCTCCAGATGATCCAGTAGCTGCTGCTTTCTAAGAAATAATCCAGTCCAATTTTATTACTTAAGCACTGAAAAACAACCACAGCTAACCAAAGTGCTGTACAGAATTAAAAAAAGAATAAAATATAAAACAGTATAGATACAAATAAAACAGTTAAAATGTGGGTAAAAATAACATTGAATGAATATTTATTTATTTCAGACAATAATATTAGTAACAAAAAAATAAATAAATAAATCAAATTAACAAATAATATAAATGAATCAAAAGAACAAATAATAATAAATAGAACACATCCAATTTCAGAAATGATCAAATAATAACAATGATTAAATCAATTTCAGAAATACTAACAAATGTGTATCACATAAAAAATGATGGTAAATATTAATTTAAATTTCTTGTTCCGATTGGATTTAAATAATTTGAACATAAATAGAAATGCACTAAACAATGTTTACCCTTAACAAGCATTATATTTACCCTAATGTCTGTCATTGATTATTTCTTACTGTAAATTGTCTGAAAAGGGGTATGAAGAAGTAGAACTTATCT